ACAGGAGGGAACACACAACACATATAAGGGACACACCTGAAGCTCAGGTGATCAAGGAGACTGCACCACTGGGCCCTGCAACACCTAGTACATAAAGCCACTCTATTAAGACTGGGAGACATAGCACCCCTACCTCATACATAGAAACAAACACAGAGAAGCTGCCAAAGTAGAGAGACAAAGAAATATGTCCCACACGAAAGAATAGAACAAAGCTTCAGAAAAAGAACTAAACAAATGGAGATGAGCAATCTACCAGACGCGGAGTTCAAAACACTTGTTATAAGGATGCTCAATGACCTTAGAGAAAAAGTAGATGAACTCAGTGATAACTTTAACAAAGAGATAAAAATGGAGATAGAAAACATAAAAAATAGAATCAGTCAGAAATGAATACAAAACTGAAATGAAAAATACCTTAGGAGGAATCAGTAGTAGATTAGATGAAGCAAAAGATCGAATTGTCATAGCAGAAAATACCCAATCGGAGCTGCAACTAGAAAGAAATCCCCTCCCCCAAATTAGGATAGTTTAAGGGGTCTCTGAGACAACATCAAGCGTAACAGCATTTGCATCATAGGGGTATCAGAAAGAGAAGAAAGAGAGCAAGGAATTGAAAACCTCTTTCAAGAAATGATAGAAAAATTCTCTAACATGGTGAAGGAGGTAGACATACAAGCCCAAGAAGCACAGAGTCCCAGACAAGATGAACCCAAAGAGTCTCACACCGAGACACATCATAATTAAAATGCCAAATGTTAAAGGCAAAGAGAGAGTCTTAAAAGCAGCAGGAAAAAAGTATTTAGTTACCTATGAGGGAGCTCCCATAAGATTGTCAGCTAATTTCTCAACAGAAACTTACAGGCCAGAAGGGATTGGCATGAAATGGTCAAAGTAATGAAAAGCAAAGACCTACAACCAAGATTATTCTACCCAGAAAAGCTATCATTTAATATCAAAGGATAGATAAAAAGCTTCCCAGACAAGAAAAACCAAACCAGTATTGATAGAAATGTTAGCTTCTTTAAGAAAAGAAGAAAAAAAAAAAAGATCAAAAATATAAATAATAAAATGACATTAACTACATTATCTGTCAACAATTACTTTAAATGTAAATGGATTAAATGCTCCAATCAAAAGTTAAGGTGATTGAATGGATAAGAAAACCAGACCCTTACATATCCTGCCTACAAGAGATTCGCTTCAGCTCGGAAGGCACACAGACTGAAAATAAAGGAATGGGAAAGTTATTTTATGAAAATAGAAACAGACAAAAAAAATCTAGAGTAGCAATACTTTTATCAGACAAAATAGACTTTAAAACAGAGGCAGTAACAAGAAACAAAGAAGGGCCCAGCAATTCCACTTCTGGGTAGTTAGTTATCTGAAAAAACCCCAAACGGTACTTTGAAGAGACATGTGAATCTATATGTTCATTGCATGTGAATTTATATGTTCTTGGCTATTATTTATAATAGCCCAGATATGGAGGCAACCTGGGGGTCCATCAATGAATTAATTGATAAAGAAGAGGTGGTAATATATACAATGGAATATTACTTGGGCACAAAAAAGAATGAAATCTTTCCAGCTGCAACAACATGGAACAACCCAGAGGGTATTGTGCTGAGTAGAGTCAGACAGAGAAAGGCAAATGCCATATGATTTCACTTACATGTGGAATCTAAAGAACAAAATAAACAAACGTACAAAACAGAAATAAACTCATAGATACAGAGAACATTTTGATGGTTGCCAGATGGGAGACGGGTTGGGGGTTGGGTGAAAAAGAGGGGATTAAGAAGTACAAATTGTTACTTACAATATAGTCATGGAGATGTAAACTATAGCATAGGGAATATAGTCAATAATATTGTAATAACTATATATGATATAAGATAAGTACAAGATTTATTGGGGTGATCACTTTCTAAGTTATATAAATGTCTAATCACTATGTTGTAATATAATATTGTATATCAACTGTAATTGAAAAAAATATTAAAACAAAAACACAACAAAAATAACTGACCTCCTGTTCTGACATTACTGCTCCAAACCAGGATGTGCCTACACAGTCACTATAACATCATTGAGGGAATAGAACAATCTTCAAATTCTTACCTGTTTGAGTGTCCATCCTTCTTAAACATCAGCCTCTTTTCTTCTCTACCTTCTAGAACTTACTGCCTTTTTTTTCTCCACATTAGCATCAAGTTTAAGGTAACTGGCTGCAGTTGGTGGTGGTTTAGTTTAGTTGGCGGGTAGTGGGTGTTACTGCGTGTGTGTGTGTGTGAGAGAGAGAGAGAGAGGAAGAGAGGGAGAGGGACAGAGAGAGAGAGAGAGAGAGAGAGAGAGAGAGAGAGAGAGAGAGAGTTGGTTCGCTTTGATAAGAAGTTATTGGAAGACCCATAACATCAAGTTGCCAGTCACATCTTATGGGTGCTGTTAAATTATAAAGCTGTTGGAAATAAGCTGTGTCTCTAAGGTGCTGTTACCTTGTCAGGGAAGACAATACTTTGTGTGAGAAACAGAAAAATATTGAAATAAGGCGGCCAGATGTGCTGGGGCTATACTGAGGGAGATCAGTGGGTGCCAGAGAAGTCGGGAAAGGTCTGCTAGATTGACAGTGAGATGTCTAGTGGGGCCCTCATGTGTGGGTGGGTGGGAAGAGGAGATAGAATTTTAGGGAGGGAAGGACATAAACACAGCCCTGAAGGGAGCAGTGAGTATCACGTGTGATGACAGGCTAAATCCAGATGGATGAAGGAGTAGATGTATGGCAGGATTATATTATGCTATGACTGTTGTCTCCCTACTCCTCAATTTTTTATATTACTCCTCTTGCCCTTTCTCTCCATTCAGTCAGTAGGGCTATTACCACAGAAATTCAAAGAGCCAGAAATATCTTAATGTTAGCCTTTAAGTTTCAAAGTAGGCTATATAAATTGAAGTAGAAATAATAATTTCCAAAGGCCTAACTTTTCATTTGTTAAACCTGCACTTTTCAAGTTCCCCTCTAAGAATGAAGGCCTTATGGCATGATTGCTGCAAAAAAAACCAACAGATTTGAGAAGAATGTGTGATATTGGTCTGTGTAAGGTAGGTGATACATTCCTGGATCTAGGCCCCATCTCTCTTAGTACCATGAGAGGAAGCAAGTCCCTATTAAGTTATCTTTTCTCCAGATTTTGGGGGAATTTCATCATCTATAGGGGATGCGTAGGTTAGCCTCGGGTTCCTGAAGTACCCCAGTGGGGCTTGAGAGCCGTTGGAAGAAGCCCAGAGGTAGTTGAGAGGGATAGCGTAACTGAGAGGGCCTGTGTAGATGCCCGTGTGTGCCCTGACCGTGTTGGAGGTTTCTCAGCA